TCCCATCTACTTCCCATGTGTTCAGAATACTGAACAAGTGCACCACTTTGAGGAAGATATTTTTGGACACAGAGGCAAAGGAACTGCCCCCATATGTAAAATGTGCCCTAGTTCCCTGGGCTCATGCTCCTGTCCACTTCTTCCCAATGCACTGACAATTTCCTTGTGCCAGAGAAGACAATAAATGCAAGATAGCCTTCCAAACACACTTCAGCTAATTTCACTCTATGTTATTGCTCCAGCCAACTTCAAGGGATTAATGCCCAGCATCTAATAGGAAATCCTAGATAGGAGTCATTTTTTATGTACAATACCACATTTTCTCTCAAACTGATCTTGTGTGAATTTCTAGTCAGGGTGGTATTACTCTGCTTGCAGCAACACCAACTTGCAAGTAATGTGTGTTAGATATTATCACCATTGTGTACTAAGCATTTGGAACAGTCAGGCAAGTATCCTAACCTAGAAGTCAGAACTCTGGGAGCCATTGAGGTAGACCCATTCTAAAAATTCTTCAACCTGAAAACATTGTGGCCTGTCAGTCCCACTTACAACTAACCAGAGGCAATAGGCACAGTAGTGGATAAGGAAGACTGTGGACTACTCCAATGGTCCTAGGAAGCCGGTAGTATTGAAAAATCTGCAACATTAATTTGAGTAAGTGGAAGATCCACCCAAGTACTTTTGCACCACTCCAATGTCCTTCATAGAATATGCAAAGTATTAGATGTAGTCTTATGGCAACTCCCAATTTATGGCCCAGTTCTAGAAGAAATGGTCAGGGCCCTTTGTATCTATTTACTACCAAAAACTATATGGAGCATAGTATTAACTGGGTGGATGAAGAACCTCTGTTACACTATCTACCCACAAAATGGTGAGTTTATCTACCTCGCCACAGTGTAGTTTGCTTATAAAGAGCTCATTGCCTCCCTCTACGCGGGACATGCCCATTCACAGTAGCCGTGGCATGATTTTTACCTACAGCTCACCACTCTTCACTCCAAGTGGCTTCTAAAACTTGGCAGCTGGGGGAAATTATGGGTTACCAAAAGTATCTTCTAGCTTGCCAAAAATCAATCCAAAGAGTATGCCAACTGGTGCTTGATTCAGGAGGAAGGCATCCAAATGATACTGTCCAGCACATCTCCAAGTACACAGTAACCATTTATATGGGAAGCTGGGAGCCTACTACTTAGAAACTGAGATAACAGAGAACATCACCTGGATGTACCCTTACAGACAATCAGTCTGAGGCCTCAGAACCAGACAAAAAGCTCGTGCAATTACCTGCACCCAGACCAGTAATTACTTGCAGTCAAGGTCCCATTGCCCACTTAGGAATATGCTCTTACTCTTTCTCCCCAGAACGTATCTACTTGGCCACAGATATTCTGGCACCCCCACCTTGCCCAAAGTCAAATGACACTGCTTCCAGGAACTGGCCCCTCATTGCTATAACCTGTGATGAAGTACAAATCAGCCCCCTGATTCAGTTCAGGTTTCCAGAACTCTATATTCTGTCACCTGTCCAAATCTTCAACTATCAAAGGAAGGGTTTCAAACAGTGCTCCTCTCTGGCAGGATCATTCTCAAAGAATGTGAAAGGAGTTCCACTGGAGTGCAAAAGTGGGGAAGGAGGGACAGAAATGAATGAGTGGGGTCAAGCCAGAATGAAGGGGAAAAGCAGGAGCTGGGGAAATACTCCAAAAGAGAAGTGGCATCCCCATTCTCCACTAGAGGTGAGTCTGTGATCGCAACAATTTCCGGAGAATGGCAGACTTTGATCCAGTTCCTGACAAGCTCAGGATTCTGAGATGCAAGTCAAATCTAGCCTATTTTTTTTTTTAAAGATTTTACTTATTTATTCATGAGAGACAGAGAGAGGCAGAGGGAGAAGCAGGCTCCCAAGGAGCAGAGAGCCCGATGAGGGACTCGATCCCAGGACTCTGGGATCATGACCTGAGCCAAAGGCAGACGCTTAACCATCTGAGCCACCCAGGCGCCCCAAATCTAGCCTATTTAAGCAGAACATGAATTTATAAAAAGAATATTGGTGGGTTAACATCAAACTAAATAACTGCACAGCAAAGGAAACAATCAACAAAATGAAAAGGCAGTCTACAGAATGGGAGAAAATAGTTGCAAACCATATATTTGATAAAGGACTAATATCCAAAATACATGAGAAACTCCTATAATTCAAAAGAAAAAAAAATGATTAAAAATTGGCGTAAGGTCTGAGTAGACATTTCTCCAAAGAAGACACACGTATGGCCAACAGGTATATTAAAAGATGCTCAACATCACTAATCTTCAGGGAAATTAAAACCACAATGAGATACCACCTCACACCTGCAAAAAATGGCTGCTATCAAAAAAAAAAAGAAAAGAAAAGACAACATGTTGGTAAGAATGTGGTGAAAAGGGGGAACCTTTGTGTACCATTGATAGGAACACACACTGGTGCAGCCATTATGGAAAACAGTATGGCAGTTCCTCAAAAAAGTAAAAAGAGGGGCGCCTGGGTGGCTCAGTCGTTAAGCGGCTGCCTTTGGCTCAGGTCATGATCCCAGGGTCCCGGAATCAAGCCCCGCATCAGGCTCCCTGTTCCGCGGGAAGCCTGTTTCTCCCTCTCCCTCTCCCCCTGCTTGTGATCCTGCTCTCACTGTGTCTCTCTCTGTCAAATAAATAAATAAAATCTTCGAAAAAAAAAAAGTAAAAGTAAATCCTATTTCTGGGTATGTATCCAAAGGAATTGAAATTATGATCTCAAAGAGATATCTGCACTTCCATGTTCACTGCAGCATAATTCACGGTAGCCAAGACATGGAAGCAACATAAATGTCCATCAATGCATAAATGGATAAAGAAGTGTCGTATATATACACACACACAATGGAATATTATTCAGCCTTAAAATCAAGAAGGAAGTCCTGCCATTTGCAACAACATGGTGAACCTGGAAGACATGCTAGGTGAAATAAGCCAGACAAAGAAAGACAAATACTGTATCACCATTTATATGAAGAATCTAAAGTAATCAAACTTGTAGAAGCAGTAGACTGGTGGTCGCCAGAGGCTCGGGGGCGGGGGGCGGGGCGTGGGAAGAAATGGAGGGGCAGTAGTCAAAGAGTACAAAGTCACAGTTATATAAGATGAACAAATCCTAGAGATCTACTGTACATTATAGAACCTATAGTTAATACTGTATTATATACTTAAAATTTTCCTAAGAGCATAGATCTTCTGTTAAATGTTCTTACCACAAAATAAATAGTAACAATAAAGAGGCTGGGAGGAAATTTTTGGAGGGGATGGATGTTTATGACCTAGATTGTGGTGATGGTTTCACAGGTGTATACTTACCTCCAAACTCATTAAGTCGTACATATTAAATACGTACAACTACTTGTATGCCAATTTTACAATAAAGTCGTCTTTAAAAAAAAAAAATATTGGGAAGTACATAAAAGCTGTAAAAGGAACAGAGAAGCAAGTTTGGTGGACAGTAACCGAATCACGCTGCAGGCCTGGTTGGGCACAGACGCTGTGTTCAGTACTGTGGCAGGTGCTGTTGCCACCAAGGACCCCAGGCTCCGAATGTGCTGCTAGAAATAAGATGCAGCTTCGCTGCTGCCACTTCCCATTAGAAGAAGACTACATAGCCCCTGCTTCTCTGCAACCTTCCTCTTTGGTTCAGAATCTGAAGCAGGTGTCTGGCCTAGCCAAAACTCTTTGCCCATGCCCTAGCTGCAAGAGAGCCTGGCATCTTGGTCCATTTGGATGGCTGTCACAGAATGCCATAGACTGGGGGGCTTATAAACAACAGAAATTTACTTCTCACAGTTCTGGAGGCTGGAAGTCTGACATCAGTGAGTCAGCGTGGTCCGGTGAGGGCCCGAAGGTTGCAGACTTCTCATTGTGCCCTCATGTGGTGGAAGGGGCGAGGGAGCTCTCTGAGGCCTCTTAGGACACGAATTCCATTCATAAGGGCTCTACCCTTATGACCTAATCACCCCCTAAAGGCCCCACCTCCAAATACTATCACCTTGGGAACTGGGTTTTCAACATACGAATTTAGAGGGAACACAAACATTCAGACCTGGGTAAGGAAGCTCTGGTCTTTTGAGCCTCCATAGTGAGATTCCAGTTTTGCTTTGGAGGGGATTCCCAAACCCCCATAAGAATGCTAGGTCTATGGGCACCTGGGTGACTCAGTCAGTTAAGCATCTGCCTTCAGCTCAGGTCATGATCCCTCGGTCCTGGGATCGAGCCCCACACTGGGCTCCCTACTGGGTGGAGAGTCTGCTTCTTCCTTTCCCTCTGCCCCTTGCCCCATCCATTCTCTCTCTCTCAAATAAATAAAATCTTAAAAAAAAGAAAAAAGAATGCTAGGTCTAAACAGAGCTAAAGTGTACCTTACTCTACACTACTTTTCCAGCCCCTTCCCTGCCCCTCTCTACTTTACTTTGCACTAATCAGGCTCCAAATCAATAGCAAGCTGAAACCTCTCTACTGCTGCTATCTTCTACACACTTGCTATCCTGCTGCCTGAAATGCTCTTCCTGATACCACTATGTCCCATGGACTCCTCCTCATCCTCCAAGACTTAGCTCAAACTTAACTTCCCTATTAGACCAATTAAAGTTCTGCAAATATGCCAATTCCAGGAAATGAGTGTCCATCCAGATAAAGGACCTTTTTCACCTGCACTAACCCTAAGTATCTGTCAATATCCTGATTCCAGTAGGAGGCCACTCAAATCCCAGGAGTCAGAGAGGAGCAAGAGAATGGTGAGGGAGGTCTCATGATCACTGGGTTCTCCCTCCCTCCCTCCTGACACAGGCATTGTAATTTGACATCTGAGATCCTAAGATCAGATTTGAGTGGCAAGGAGAGATCCCTGCCGTGTGCCTGGTTGGCATGGAGACTAGAGACTCAGAAAGTCAAATAGCCCTATTTGCTAAGTACTCATAACAAGTCTGCTCTTGTTTCAGACCAGAAGGAACTGGTGCCCACTAGGCTTCCCCCTATTATCCCAGAAGATGGGAATTATTCTGTGCACCAGAATAGCCACAAAAGGTACCACGAAGCTGTAAAGAAGGTGTTGTTAAAGACATGTAAGTATTGAGTCTGGGTGGCTCAGTCAGTTAAGCTTCTGCCTTTGGCTCAGGTCATGATCTGGGGCTCCTGGGATCAAGCCCCGGTCTGGCTCCCAGCTCAGTGGGAAGCCTGCTTCTCCCTCTCCCTCTGCTATTCCCCCTGCTTGTGCTCTCTCTCTCGGTCTCTCTCAAATAAATAAAATCTTTAAAAAAAAAAAAAAAAAGACATGAAAGTATCCTGGGGTGGGCACCATGCTAGAGACAGAATAGATATGCCTGAGTTTGTAAAGAATGGTTGGGCTGTGATGGGGCATGGTTATAGGGCAGGGGGAAAAAAACAGCCAAGAAGGGAAACTGAGAAAAGGAGGGTGAAAGTAGACTTGAATGGTGGAGTGAGCAAGATAAAACAAATTGAATCAGACTTGGAAGCAGAAGCTCCGTATTGGAGTCCTAGTTCTGCCTCTTTTAAGTGTCTTACTTTGGGTAGCCACATATCTTCTATTAATCTGCTTTCTCATTAAGAAAAAGAAAAGAAAATGCCTGCTCTACCAACCTTACAGAATTGTGAGGATCACAACAAAATGAGACAATTTAGGACAGTACTTTGTATATTAGGTGCTATGCCTGTGAGGAGTGGTAGACCAAACACTGGCTTTGGAATTTGAACTGAGTTTAAACTCCAAACAAATTGTGTGACCTTGGGCAAGTTCCTTTAACCACTCAACCTCTCTGAACCACCTGAAAATGGGAATCATACTCTAACATTGTTGTGAAAGTTAGAGAAAATGTACATTTAAAAAAGCATCACTACTGATACATGCGAGAACTTCTAGGAATCTTCAGGGAGTTATGCTATGCAAAGAAAGCCAGTCCCCAAAAGATCACATACTGTATGATGCCATTTATATAACATTCTTAAATGACAAAATTATAGAAATGAACACCATGAGGGGCTAGGAGGGCATGGCTATAAAAGGGCAACTCCTGGGGCGCCTGGGGGGCTCAGTGCGTTAAGCGTCTGCTTTCTGCTCAGGTCCCTATCCCGGAGTCCTGGGATGGAGTCCCACATCGGGCTCCCCAATCAGTGGGAAGCCTTGCTTCTCCCTCTCCCCCTGCCTGCCGCTCCCCTTACCTGTGCTCTGTCAAATAAATAAATAAAATCTTCTAAAAATGGGGGGGCAGCTCCCTTTCCCTATTGGGGGAAATTGGGTAAAGCGTACACAGGATCTATGTGAATCATTTCTTACAACTATGTGTGAATCCATAATTATCTCAAAATTAAAGTTTAATTTAAAAAACTAAGGTAGGGCGCCTGGGTGGCTCAGTTGGTTAAGCGACTGCCTTCAGCTCAGGTCATGATCCTGGAGTCCTGGGATCGAGTCCCACATGGGGCTCCCTGCTCGGCAGGGAGTCTGCTTCTCCCTCTGACCCTCCCCCCTCTCATGCTCTCTCTCTCTCTCATTCTCTCTCTCAAATAAATAAAATCTTTTTTTTTTTTAAGATTTTATTTATTTATTTGACAGAGAGAGACACAGCGAGAGAGGGAATACAGGCAGGGGGAGTGGGAGAGGGAGAAGCAGGCCTCCCGGCGAGCAGGGAGCCCAATGTGGGGCTCGATCCCAGGACCCCGGGATCATGACCTGAGCTGAAGGCAGACGCCCAATGACTGAGCCACCCAGGCGCCCCTAAATAAAATCTTTAAAAAGAAAAAAAAAAAACTAAGGTACTTTCAGAAATTTAAAAAGACATGGATAGAGTATCTAAGAGTTATTCCTAATAGCAAATTCTTTTTAAGAGCTTGTAATCAATCAATAGGGAAACAGCTAAGTCAAAAATGTACCATCTACTCAATGGTATATTACAGATTTTTAAAAATAATGATTATAAAGACTATATAGCCAGAATATTAGGCTATAAATCTAAGTTTAAAGAATATACAAATTTTATACAATGGTTTAATTAGATTTATCCACATCAAGAATAAAAACACCAAAAAAACTAGGTAAGTCTGATACTATTTCAAAATCTTAAGAACACCTAATACATTTAGAACGTGATAGGCACTTGATAAATGAATCTATTAGCAGTATCTAAATATGAGGTGGTATCATTGCTTAGTTTCAGAGAATTACCTGAAATGAGAAAAAGAAGGAATTTTTTCAGAGAAGGGAGAAGGGAAAGAGAATGATTAAGCCTGGGGGATGGGGGCTTGCACATTTCCCGAGTGGGTTGACCACCTGTTTTTCCACCATCTTAGCACTTGGGGAAAGCTCTCTTGGAAATGGGCTTAGTAGCAGCAGGAAGAACCATGACTGATTCAACTGACCATGAAGGGTGTGAGATGCTGGAATCCGGAAGTAAAGCTGGGTGTGGTGGCCAGATTCCCAGGACTTCTCAGTACACGGTCGGGCCCAGTTGCTAGGTTGGGTTTGTGCTGCCGTGAGGCACAAAAGGGAGAAAGAACTTGAAGATACTGGATAACCTGCCCTCCCCAACCATTCAAGTCCCCAATCAGGTCTTCAGAGTCCCCTTGACTGATGCTCAGAACTTCAGCTTCTGGCGGTCCCATGATCCAGGAGTGCGCCCAGAGGAAACCATGCCATGGATCCGAAGCCCCCGCCACTGCCTCATCAGAAGCCCAATGACCAGGTTAGGCTGGGATGGGTGAGGGTGAGGAGAATAAGGGAAGAACTCCCTCCACTTAAATCCTTAGAGCTGTTTCATCTCTTCTGAGTTAGGGAATAGAAGACAAAGTTGGGGTCTTACCAGGGATAGCTGGCCCCAGAATCTGGCATTCCAAGGAGTTAAAGCTTTGTTTCTATTTTGTGTTTCGCCTTGTGGCTATGACTTCTGGGGCAAGCACAAGACAAGTGTCTATAGCTTTCCTAGGGGAGTCCAGGGATGTTTCTGCTCCCTTCATTGCTGCCGCCCACCCTCCAACCACTATTCACTGGCAGTAGCCATACTTCCTCATTACTGCCCCTGCCCTCTCTGCCCTGAGGCAGTCTTGGGAGATGTTTAAGGACACCACCACATATACACCAGCCTGGCCTGGCCTGGCCGAATCTGAGACCCTCTCTCTCTTTTCCAGGTTCATGGATCACTCTGTTCTCAGTGACAGAAACTTCAGTCTGTATTGAGCAGGATGTGTTTGCAGAAGAGCAAGATGGACCATGGAAACAGGGCAAAAAAAGAGAAAGTGGGAGAAGGTGTCCTGGTTCCACTAACTGACTAATAAGAGGAGGGGATCGCAAAAGCAGAGTAAACAGATTGGACTAGAAGTCACTTGTGTGCGCTGGAAGTGAAGCAGAGGGAAATTATTCCAAAGCCCAAATTCCTGTGAAACCAGATGTATGGGGGCCAGAATTTGGTGTTTGGTTTGGGAAGGGGCCAGGGTACAGAAAAGACCACCAAGGGGGTCTTGACCTCATGAATGGCAGGTGTCAGAGTAACAAGTCTGGGAAGACACACACTGGTTCTCATGATGCTGAAGGGTCTAGAGTAGTCATGCTCTCTGAAGACTGCAGCTTCACCTTGGCAGCGAGAAAACCAGAAGAAGCCCTCTAACCACAGAGGAAAGAGGCTCAGAGCCCTCCAGCAGGAGGCTGCCTCCTATACCCAGCTCTGCCACTTCTGACCCAACCCAGGGCCCAGAACATCTTCAGAGAGCTAGGAATTTTACAAACAATTTGATTTTATTGATATTTAAATATATTAAATATTTCACTGAAATACATGATACACAACCCTCCCCCCCCCACAGTGGTTACATTATAAAACCAAAGTCCATGGGCCTCCCATCCGCTGACTCCCCCATCACCTGGTGAGAAAGGGGGCGATGGTAGCCCAGGAGAAGGGCATGGCTGGCACTGTGGTATGGGGAGTTGGTGTGGACAGGCCCCTCCCACTTGGCAAGAAGCAAAGTCAAGTCACCGAAGACTGAGGTCTTCCCACTCTGGTCTCCTTACACCCTCACCCCCAACCCAGGGCTCCAAGCAGTCCCTTCCTATCCAGGGATATGGCTGGGGAAAGAAAGTTGATTTTCTGTCTGGACCAACTAGTCTTTTCCCCTCCTCCTGCCATGGCTAATGAAGTGCCCGATGGCCCATTTGGTTGATGCATGAAGATCCCCCAGGGGAGGCAATAGGAGCCAAAAACCAGGCCTCTGCAAGGAGCTTGAGTCAGAAAGGGCACGAGGAAGGGCAAGAGTACCACCTATCCCTTCCATTCCCCAAACCCAGCAACTCTGGGACCCTCCTCTGTCTCTCTCATCACCTCCAAGACAAAATGATGTTCAAGCAAAATTCAGGCTAATACCTCTGGCTTAAATAGGTACAGACAGAGAAACCAAGGCACCAACTAATTCAGGCCTGAGGCAAGGAGGTTGCAAGGAAAGGAGTAAAAGGAAGGCAGAGATAGGAAGGGAATCTAGAGTCCAACCTTCCAACCCTCCTTTCTAGCCCTTGCAGGCTTCATGGGCTAGACTGAGACTGAAGGCTGCGGAACACCAAGTTTCAGGTTCCCTTGCCTCATTCCCTAGTACCAGAATCTGGGTCCTCAGAGAGATCCCATGCTACCTCGGTCCCAAAGTATACCACCAGCTGGGGAACCCAGGAAATCCCTGAGCCTCTGCCCACCAAACCCCAGACAGGTCAAGTGCATGGAGCACTGAGGCTCAAGCAGGTGCTTGGGTCCCTGCCCCTGGCAGGGAGACAGTCATGGTGCACACGTGGCCCCCAAATGGCACTTAGGGATTTGGCACAAAAAGGACTCCTCTCCCCAGGGCCACCTTCTTCTTGCTACCACACCCCATGCCACTCCTGTGCAACCTAGGCATCTCTCTCCACCCCTTGAAATCAGAAACACTTCCTTATTCCCAGAAGACAGAGGCCCACAGGAGAGAGGCAACCCCGGGTAGAGAGCTGAGGAGGAGCACAAGGACACACACAGACCTGGGAAACAGCTACACACACAAAGGCCGACATGCACACACATTACACAGACACACAGGCCCTCCCCAGGGCCAAAGACTTGGGAGGACAGGTTTGAGATCAGGGTCATCCTCCTCCATGCCCTGACCCTTTTCTATTTGGCAACAGAATGGGTAGAGATGCTCTGTGTCCCCTTGCCAGCAGACAGACAGACAGAGCACGGGGGGGGGGGGGGGGGGCAGGGGGGGCAGAGTTACCTGATCATGACCCCAGTGGGGCCCTCAGATCGAGTCTGGTACCACCCCGCTCCCTGGCTGGCCTGCTCTCTTTGGCACCTGCCCGTGGACTTTCAACTCCTGGTCTGACATCCGCACACACACGCTTGCTCTCTGGCTGGGCATTTTCACAGTACCAATGAGGCCAGATGCCCCTTTCCCTGGAGCTGTGCAGGAACTGGGGCTAAATCTGAGCTGTCAAAAGTCCCTTTATTCCCCTTTGGGGACAGATCATGGGACTAGGATTTGGCAAATGGAAACATTCCCCTGAAACATGGACAGAGCTGGGTCCCCAGGGCATCCCCCTCCTCTGCCCTGTGCCTAGGAGGGAGACCTGACCGGGGTGGGGTACCCAAGGCCAGTGCTGGGGACGCAGGCACTGCAGAGGCAAGCACAGAATAGGCACTCCTCAGGCCTGCCCCAGTCTTTGTACAAAATATTCCCAGGAAAAAAGAGGGAAAGGAAGGGCCCAGCCCTGAGTCCGTTGCCCAGACAGACAGGGAAAGGGTAGGCATGGCAAGCTGCCATTTTAATCCCTCAGACAGGAGGGCTCCTTCCGCCTCTGCTGATGCCCCCCTCCCCCCGCCGGCCCCCCCAGCTCCCAAAAGCTGGAACAAAGAGGCAACAGCCCTATCCCAGTTAGAAAAGTAGAAGTCACTTGCATAATCCTCTTGGTATCCCTTGTTCACCAGCCTGAGAGCAGACGAGCATGGTCCAAGCACAGCCTGCTGGTGTGCTCCCTTCTGTGATCAGCAGGGTCTGGAGGCTTCGTGCCCCCTGCCACGGCTCCACTGAGCGAGCTCAGAGTCCACTCAGATGCCCACCTTGGTCCTGACAGCTGAATTTGTAGCTGGGCCCTGTTAACTGGGGGGGCCCCCGTTGAGGAAGTAGGTGGTCATCTCCCCCTTGCCCTTCACCTTGACCACCCCTCGACACTCCAGCTGGTAGCCTTTGGCAGCTAGAACCTGGTACAAGTCCGTGGTCACCTGGGGGATGGGAAGGGAACCCATTTAGCCTGGGATCCTTCCTGCTGCATTTGTAGGGGTCCAGGGGTTCTCTAATCATGCTAACCCCACCCCAAACCGCACCCACCCCCAACCACAGAACACTGCCACCCTACCCCTGTCCTAGCTGACCTCAGAGAGGGACCTGCAGAAGCCCTCTGGACCCATACCCTTCCCAGCCTCTGCCCACATCCCCCTCACCTGGATTCGGTCAGGGACCCCCGTGCTGTCCATACGGCTAGAGACATTCACTGTGTTCCCCCAGATGTCATACTGCGGCTTCCGAGCCCCAATGACGCCTGCCACGACTGGGCCCATGTTCAGCCCTGAGATGGGAACAGCAGCAAAAAACTGAGACTAATGGACATTCCAGGGTCAGCCCAGGGAGTCATCCCGCCTCCTGGAACCTTTAGAAGGACCCAGAGAAGAGAGTGACAAAGGGACAAGTGTCCTGGTTGTAAAAAATGGCAGATCTGGGCATGTCCTGAGGCGCTCCCCTGAGTTAAGACAGCCACTGCCATAACAGTAGCTAAATCCACCGAAAGCTCGCTCTGAGCCAAGCCCTCCGGGAAGCATTTTGCATTCCATTACTTCATCCCCTCAACAGCCTTCAACGGTAGGTATCATGCCCATTTTACAGATAGCCTTGGGGAGCTGAGGGGAGTTGGGCAACGTGCTAAATAAGCCAGTAAGTGGCACAGCCAGAGTTCAAACCAGAGTGACTCCAGAACCCACGCTGTTAACCGCTCCTCCCGCCCACCAGCTCCCAGCTCATCTCAGAGGTGCCTCTTAGACTGGACACGGGGACTGGAGTGTAAATAAACCTGGTTTTGAACCCCAGTGCAGCCATCTACTAGCTGTTTGGCCATGGCCAAGTTATTTTAATCTGAGAGTCAGTCTCTATCTGTAAAAGGGGATGACAACGTGAAGACTAAAATGCCTAGGACAGGGCCTGGCACACAGTAGGCCCCCAATAAATGATCTCTGTTCTAAATGTGAGACAAGACAGGAGGTGGGAGAAAAGGACATCCCAAAGGATTCCTGATGGGGCATCTGTGACGCCGTCCCTAGCCTGCTTCCTTGGCCTCACCCAGGAACAGCCCTGGGAAAAGCTCCCAGGCAACCAGGCCGTCTCACCAATCTTCATCTGGAAATTGTTGAAGGAGTGCTCATTGATGTGTTTCATCTGCTCCATGAGCCGCATGGCATAGTCGGCCAGGGCGGTGATGTGGGAGCGGCCCGCCTGATCATAGGTGCTGGCGTTCAGGCCTGAGGCCGCCATGTAGGTGCTACCAATCGTCTTGATCTTCTCCAGCTGCCGGAAGCGCTCCTCGCTGATGATCTGGCCAGCACGGGGAGACCTGACCGTCAAGGCAGAGAGGCCAAACGCACGCACCCTGCCCGATGCTCACTCCTGCCCTGCCTCGGCCTCTTCCCCCTTCCCTGTTTCAACAGCTCCCCTCCCTCGAGTGAGCGTGCCCCCGCTTCCAGCTGCTGTTCTCAAGGCGGGACCGAGGAGCCAGAACACAGGCCTCCTTCGCCAGGCAGTCAGCAGAACCCCAGGCCAGGACTTAACGCGTACAGCTTCAGCTCCGCTTCAAAAGCTCCCTCGCAGAATCCGGAACCACAGAAGGGATATTAGCCACCAGTTATCCTAACCGTCACTTTTCGGGAAACTGAGTGCCAGAGCGAAGAAGTGCCTTGGCTCCAAAACAGTAAATGGCCCATTCCTGACCTGGACGTTCAGGATACTTCCTCATGCTTGTTTCCATTTTCTCTATCCAGGGGCCCATCTTGCTTCCTTGGGCTCACATGGGGTTCTGTCCACAGACCACTGCTTTCTTATTCAGTAACATCCACCTGGTACCTATCCTGTCCCCTCCACAGAGCCTCATGTCCTTTGCTCCCCAGCAGTGACAACCCTGCCCCACTGAGGCTGAGCTCCTTGCTGCCTTGGACACCCTGGTGGGTCCTTGTCCTTGCCTCTGCTGTACCTACCCTTACTCCTACCCCGACGTCTCTGGGTCCCATCAACCCTCCCTCCCCGCCCCAATCCAGCTACCCCTCCAACCCCGGCCATCCCATCCGAAGTTCTCCCCGCTCCCCTAGCCCCGCCAGCTGCTCGGCCAGCAACAGCGGCCAGACAAGCACCTCATCGAAGTCGGCGATGATCTCGTTGAGCAGCCGCAGGCACTCAACACCCTCATTGTTGGCCTCCAGCTCCACGTAGAACTCGGAGAAGTTGGCGATGGACGCGAACATGACAGCCACGCACTCGCACGACTGGTAGTAGAGCTCGTCGTTGCGGCGCTCGCGGGCCAGGAAGTGGGCGGCCACGTCCTTGGGCAGGATGTTGTGCAGCAGCCTTCGGTTGTAGGCCTGCAGCTCCTCCATCTCCTCCTTCTCCCCTGTTGCCTGTGGACACCACAGCCATCACCCATTGCCCAACAGTCACAAGGGGTGGGTAGAGCGGCCGATGCCTGGAGACAGGCATCAGAGGGAATCACAGGGAAGGAGAAAGGCATGGCCGGGTGAGACCTAAAGAACAAGCAAAGGGGTGAAGGGCACGGACAGGATGAAGCAGGGGTTAGGGGGTGGGCGCAGAGAAGGCCTGGAGCCCGAGTGGGCTTGGGCGGCCCGAGCCTCGGCCAGCTTGTAACAAGATGCACTTCTGGCTTGGCCCAGGTTCCGTCCCCAGGGCCCTCCCCCTGCCCCAGAGGCCCGTGCTCGGTCACCTGCAGCTTCCAGAGGAAGTCCAGACGCGCCGTCGATTCCACCTGCTGGGCATGCAGATACAGCGCCAGGGCAAACACCAGCAGAATCACTGGGGTCATGTACTTGAGCGCCACCCGCCCCGCAGCTGGGCTGAGGGGAAGCAGAGGCAAGCTCAGTGTCTGGAAGAGGCACCGGGCAGCCCTACCCTGCCCCGCCCCAGAGCCCTCACTCACCAGTCCAGCCCATCGAAAGTCTCATTGGAAGAAGCCCTGGCAAGAAGATACAAGAAACAAAGTCATCGGCTCTTCTTGGGTTGCTGGGTGGGGGCACAGGGAAGGGGAGGCAGAAACTGCATTTCCTGAGCACAGAGCACAAAATCAGGCACAGGGCCAGGGCCTTTGCTTACACGAACTCGTTAAGAGCAGAGGTTAAGAGAAGCTTCCACTCGTGGCTCCTCGACTTACCTGTCCTGGGACCCGGTACAAGTTGCTTAAGTCTAGGCCTGTTTCCTCATCAGTAAAAGAGGGACGAGATCTAAGTAACACGCACAAGAGGCCTAGCGCGGCGCCCGGTGGGCAGGAAGGCTTCGACAAATGTCAGTTACCAGAGTCTTTACAATCACCTATGACACAGGTGCCACCGCCATTTTACAGATGAGGAAACTGAGGCTCAGAGACGTGAACTCACCCGCCCAAGGTCACACAGCTAATGAGCAGCAGAGCGGGACTCAAACCCAAGTGGGCCCCCAAGAGGGAGTCCTTCAAAACCCAAGAGGCTTTTCCTACCACCACACCAAGCTATGGCCCCATATCACAAGGGGTGGGGTTTGCAGAGGAAAAGCCAGTGTGGTAACCCTGCCAAAGCCCCTAAGCAGGAGTCAGACGTCTTGGTTCCCAGCCAGGGCTCTGCCACAAAGCAGCTGTGTGACCTACAGGTGGTTAAGAGAATGTGTACGAAGGAACCATGCAAATGAGAGAGGGAATTTTTTAAAATGTCTGGCCTGAAGATACAGGCACTTCCCAGGACTGGGGTTTCCTTGGGGTGACTGTGAAGTCATATGCTGGGAGCTCCTCCCCTGCCTCCTTTTCTGCCACAGGTGAGGGGTGAGTGGTAGCATTCCAAGGGCACAAGAGGCCTGGGCACCAGAGAGACTCACAGTGACCAGCAGGGTCAGGAAGCTCCTAGGGGATGAAAGGGGCTGAGGATAAACTCACAAGCCATGGACACCAAGCAGCAGGTCATAGTTGTCAAAGATGGTGGCTGGGGGGCCCAGCAGAAGCAGCACCAAATAGATGAGCCCCAGGACAAAGATCATGGCCAACTTCCCGATGCTACTGATGTGCAGGAAGACAGAGCTGGCCAAGAGACTCAGCAGCATGTTCCCAACGAAGTACTGGGGGGCGATGGCAGAGGTGGTGTTGGATGAAGCCGCGGCACCCCCGACCCCATGCAGGAAGAGCACTCCCCTCCACAACCTCAAACCCAAAGCTCCTTCAGCCTCCGCACCCCGCCCCCCAGCACACTGGGGCCCCTGGCTGCTTCTGCAGCAGGGACGCTGGTGAGACCTGGACCCCGGTGCCCATCGCCAGGCGTGACACAGAGGAGTCAACAACGAGTACTGATCGGGACCACCCCCCCCCAATCCCGCCTGAGCACGGCTTGGACACCTCAGGGAAGCTGCAAGTGGGTGCGGTGCCCTCACAGAGGGGAGCATCCAGGCCCAGAGAGTAATTGAGCTGCTGCAGGTGGCAGGCAGTGATGTCAGCAGGTGTTACATTCAGCATCCGGGCTGCACAGGTCCGTATGGGGGTGTGGTTACAGGTGAACTGCAAAAGTTGGGGGAGACTATCAGGGTATCGCGGAGGGGAGCGCTTACAAGGGCCATGCCCCCGTGCCTTCTACTCTGGAGGTCAAAGTTCTCACTGAGGGTGACAGGAGGTACAGAGAGCAAGGAGAAAGGGGGACTCGAGTTAACCTCATCCCCTCCTTTGGGATAACGAGCTCTCGGAGGGCAGGAAATGGGTCTCCTTCCTCTGCCTACCCCCAGGGCCCAGAGCAGTGCTTGGCACAGATGAAGGGAAGAAGAATCCCCACTGGACCTTTACCATGTTGGCGATGGCAGAGGTGAACACAAGCAAGACTGAAAAGATGCCAACCCCAGTGCTGTGTGCCCGAGAGCGGACGATGCTGCGGGAAAGACGTCGCAGGGCCTTGGGGAAGAGCTGCGGACGGGCCAGAGACCGGGAGTTAGAGACCACATCAGCCAAGGGGTAAGGCCAACGAGGGCCGGGGCCTGGGGGCGGGGCGGGGGCCGGGGAGGCCTGGCCTTCTCCTCCCTGTCCCCACGTGCCTCACCAGCCCAGCCCAGCCCGCCCTCCCCGACCAGCCCTGGAAGAACCCCCGACGTACAGAGCCGCAGGAGGGCACGGCACAGGTCAGCACGGTGATCAGCAACAGCAGGAAAATACTGGCATAGATCCCAAGCATCAGTGTTGAACTGGGGCAGAAGAGGGCCAGGAAAAATGTTACTCTGGAATAGCTGGGCTTCCTTGTCCCACTCTCCAGATGGGCAGGGTGCGGGCTCCAGGGACCGTAAGCTTGCATGGGTGTTTAGGAAGGTTCTGGGAAGTGGTGGAGGGAAGAGAAGCAGAGTGAGGAGGGACAGGGCTCTCACTGTGGGAAGACGAGGAGCTGGATAAAGCAGATGAAGCAGAAGACCAACAGCGCACAGGCCACGTAGGCTCCGAAGCGGGGGTCCACCTTCCGTGAGTACTGAGGGAGAGGAGGCTGAGCTGGGTGCTGGGCTCTGCCCTGGGGGAGGCAGGGCACTCCCAGGGGCCTCAAGGAGGGGAAGCAGTGGCCCAGTTGATAGGAATCCCCCCTGTGCCCTGTGGTCGCCCCTCTCCCCCCATTCCCAAAATAACCTCTCCTGTTCCCTCAGTTGTGCTCAGCCTTCCCTGCCTGGACCTCCCCTCCTCGCCTGGCCCTCGTCCCTCTGCCCTCAAATCCCCCAAACCTTCTTTTCAAGGTCCTCTCTCTGGAAGGTGAGCAGGAAGCGGCGCACGTGGTCCTTCCGTAGCTGATCGATGCTGCGGGCATCGATGGCACGGCCCAGGAACTCATCTACCTCGTCCTCGGGGTTCAGGGCATCTTGGGCACCCCGGCTGAGGGCAGGGGACATGGCTTCATCAGGGGCATGAGCAGTGCCACATGAGAGGCAATGAGAAGGGAAGGGCATGGGCAGCACCCCAGAATAGAGTGAGCGGGGGTATGGCCCCTGCTCCCCCATGACACACCTAAGCTCCAGGAAAGAGGGGGCCTCGGCTCCCCGCAGCCCTGTCCCAGGGTGCAAGTGCCTTCTCCCCTCCTCTTCCTCCCTCCTCAATCACCTGACTTACTTGTCTTTGCTGGAGTCATCAATGCCCTGGAGAAAGGGACAAAGCGTGCCGGTGAGGTGAAGGGCAGACCACCCTCACCTCCATCATCCCTTCCCCCTCCCCAACAGCGTGCTGAGGGGTCCCCCCCATGTACTTTGCGGGGCTCGGGACCCCTGGTATGAAGTCATCCCTCCTGCTCCCAATACCAGAAGTCATACGTGGAGACGCAAGAGCCACAACAAGGAAGGAAGAGGAAAGAAGCGGGGCACAGAGTGTCAGGAAAATGAGGCCTCAGGTACTAGTGCTGCGGGCCCCTCACCATCTGGCGGAAAGCCTTGGAGTCCTTGGTCCGGGAGAAGGCACGGTCGGGCACCCAGCGTGGCATCAGCCCTTCCATGGAGTTGGCCCGCGTCCGCTGCAGCTTGGCCAGCATGGCCTTCTCTTCTTTCTGTGCAGGCAGCCGGGTGCAGGATCAGAAAAGGGGCCCAGAGAAGAAGTCTGTCTGCTCCCCACATTTGCCCTCCTCCCTGCCTGCCTCCCCCGCCGCAACCCCCCACCCCGGCCTGACCCGTTTCTGGCTGGCTCCCAGGATGAGGAAGGTCTCGATGTGCTGCTCCTTGAGGTAGGCATTACGCTCACCGCCGCGGCCTGGCTCCACCTCGTAGTCCCCGTTCAGGTACTGCAGCGTGGCCCGGGTGATATGGATCCGGCTGGGAGGGACCAGGAGGGTGAGGCCGGGGCTTGCCCGCCTCATTCCCGTCCCTCACCACCTGGACCCCACACTCACCCGGCCCGGCCCCCCGCCTCCATGTGGTTGGCCAGCGTCACGTCATTGGACCACACGTCGAACTGCCACTTCCGCAGGCCAAGGACGCCACAGTGCACACGCCCGCTGTGGATGCCCACGCGCATGTTCACGTTCACGCCGGTCACCTCACGCACCAGCCTGGGAGGAGGCGGCTCCGGTTCAGCTCCTGGCACGGTCCTCCCCACTCCCAGCCCAGAGCTCAGGCCCTTCACTCCCCTCGGAGCCAAACAGACAGGGACAGACCCAGACGCGGGGCACGGGAGCACAGCCCTTGGCTGGACGTGGGCAAAAGGCTGCCAGGGTCTCAGGGACAAATGTTTGAGGGCTGTTTTCACCGGCTGTGGCCCTGCAGCATCCTGTGGAACTGAGCCAGAAAGGGGGGAGCCCCTGTTCTCCCCTCAGGCCAGCTCAGCTAGCACTCGCACCAGCCCAAACGCCCTCACGCTGGCTCCCCTACCCTGCCCGGCTGGCTGGGGTCTCGGCCGCACAGGCTCAAGAAATATGCATTCCCCTCCCCGGTGATGGGCCTCCAAGACAGAGAAATAGCCACAACTGAGAAAAAGTCCTGAGGACACGTCAAAGGGTAGGAGTCGGTGGGGGCACCCTTGGTTCCAGAAGGCCTGGGAGGGGCACCGCTTACGAGATGGCCTCAATCATGTCCACGCCCATCTCCACACAGCAGTGGGCATGATCTGCCCGGGCCTCCGGCAGCCCCGACACACAGTAGTAACAGTCCCCTAAGATCTTGATCCTCAGGCAGTGATTTTCCTAAAGAGGAGAGTTGGGGAGAGTCGCTCTCACTCTCTTGCCCGCCCAGCACCCTCACTGAGTCACCACCTGTCCCCACCGTGCCAGGCCGCCCCAGTAAGGCTATGCTCTCGCCACCCCCAGCCCCAGCCCCCTCACCGCAGCCAGCTTGTCAAACCGGGCAAAGAGCTCGTTCAGGGTCATGACCAGCTCCTGCGCAGTGCACTGGGATGCCAGGCTGGTAAAGCCTTCAATGTCTGCAAACAGGATGCTGTGGACAATGGCAGAAAATGGAAGGACCACGTGGCGCTCAAAGACTCCCGGGTTCCCCATCCCTCCCGGGCTCCTCCCCCTCCCCCCCTACCTGACATTGTCATGCTTCTGGATGTAGATCTTGTGGAACATCATGTCTTCTTTCTTTGTGTTGATATCTTCTTTCATCTCCATGGCAACATGCTGGGGCAACACGGACAGCAGCAGCCGTTCCTAGACCAGCGGTTTCAACGGGGCACCACTACCTTCTCGGCCTCACGCTGCGATCCCTCCTGATGCCTCCACCACCCCAGGGCCCTCCCAGAGCCCTCTGGAGACCTGAGCTTCCCTTCTGGACCTCCCCCATGAGAGCCTACAGCAGATCCACGCCCCAGCCTGCTCTGAGCACCCCCGTGCAACCCCTCGCTTGTGCTCCCTGCTGCCCTCTCCCACCCTCGGACAAGACAGGACCCCCAGCGTCACACAGCCTGTGTGATGCACGATCGGGGGGACCGCCGTCCACACTGATTCCATGGAGTGGTACAAGGCAGCGGACCCAGTCCGCGGGTTCTTTGGGGGTGAGGACGGGAAAGGCCTTGGACAGGGAGAGCAGCCCCACCTGCTGCCGATTCTCATGCTGCAGGTGCAGCCGGGCCTGGATGTAACCACGGGTCTCCTGAAAGGCCTGGCGCTGAGACACCTCAGCCGGGTAGTGCGTGCAGATGCCGATGACATTGGTGCAGACGAACAGCAACATGCTGGCACCCAGCTGCAAGAGGGCGGCAGCGCAGACGCGTGACCACCCCCACCCCCACTCCGCGCAGGTGCAACTTGCTAGGCTCTCTGTGCATGCATTCCCTCGGAGGAAGCCAGGATCCGTGCCCCGTCTGTCCCCGAGCTGTCCCAACCCCTGTAACATATCTCCCCCTTCTCCCACAGGACTCCGGCCCCCTGCCCGGATCACTCCACAGCTGGAAATGGGACCTCTTCACGACTCCTGGGAGCAGAAGCGCCAACCAGGGCAAGGTGGGTCATGGGGCCTGTGCCCAGCACACTACGATTTCCTGCCCCACAGCCAGCCCAAACAAAAAACAAATGCTGCTCCTTCTGTATGTGGATCTCCTCACAGGACAACACCCAGGAGACTTGAGCTCTATATCCTCCTATGAATGCCCAGGACAAGTCACCTCATCCCTCTGGGCCTCTGTAAGCTCATCTAGAACCTGGAGAGGGACAACAAGAAGATTTCTAAGGTCCCTCCCTGCTCTGACATAACTTGATATAATAGTTACTACTACTATTATTATTATTATTAGTTGGCTAATTTGTTGGCTGCCTACTTAATATTCCTGACTTCTATAGCTACCTCATATACAGTAACGGATTTCTCCTAACTCTATGAAACAGATAACAGCATCTCATTTTAAAGGTAAGACGTTCCAGCACAGAGACGCTAAGTAACATGTCCCAAATCACACAGCTAATAGTGGCTGGTGTGGGACTTGAATCCAGGACAGTCAGACTCCAAAGCCTGTGTCCAAACCCTACTGCACGGTACATTCCAGACTTCCAAGATGCCTACACACCCCACTCAGCCAAGCTCTTGAGGCCCAGCCTCAGAGACCAGGCTTGGGAGTCCTCAATTCTACTAACGTTGGACCTTCCCTTCCACCTGGGAAGGGTTGCCACCATGCCCCGGCACTCCCAATTCTTGGCATAGCCAGGCCGCATGCCCTAGGACCCCGATCTGAGGACGGTCAGCCCTCCTCCGCATCAGTAGCACTCACCGGAGAGGAAGTCTAGGGAAAACTGGCCTCAGTGTTTCTGGAAATTCAGGGGTTAACCTGGCACCTGTGGCTCCACCCCAGAGTTGGCTGGGGCAGGGTTCTGGTTTGGGGAGAAGGGAGGGAAAGAGCACTAACTGGAAGCCAGGAATTCTGGGCTTTGCCCAGAGCCAGAACGAGTCCTGCAAACTTGGGCAGGTCACTTAATCTCTGGGGCCTCAGTTTCATGTTTCTTAGGTGAAATGGAGGGGTAGGTTCAGCAAACCCCCAAGCCATTTCTCGCTCTGACCCCCTAGGAACGGCCTCCTAGCTTCCCTTCCCAGTCCAGCTCACAAGGCCCCCCTCCCAGCAGCAGGGCTGAAGAGGGGGGGCACACTATCTCCCTTAGGGGTTTCTAAGAATAGCCCCCAGTGGGGGAGAAGGAGAGGGGGGGTTTAACCAGGCAACTTCCCTTCCTGGCCCCAGGAGCCCAAGAGGAAAAAGTGAGTCATGGGGGAGGGAAGGGGAAGGGGGACGAGAGACTGAAATAGATCTGTACGGAGACCCCTATCCGACTGTGAGAAAAAAGGGATGCCAGGGCACTCTAGGAGACTCCAGGAGGGGCTGCTGGGTGAAACCGCTCAGTGCGTCTAAATGAGTGGGTCAGAGGAGAAGGAAGGCTCCTTCCCGTGAGCGTGAGCAGGGCTGGATCTGGAAAAGGGCTGTGCAAGGAGCCTAGAAAGGAGGTCACGGCCCCAAGCCATCCAGACTCATATAGGCCAACTGGACACAGGGACTCAATCCTTCTCAGTTCAGAGAAGGGTTATGGCGACCCTGGCTCCGCAGACGGGCACAGGGGCAGGGGTGACTTTCCCCGCTCACCCTAAGAACGTGCCTGCTGAGACCTACTGGGTCAGGCTGCAGCTGGGTGCCCCTGGGGAGGCAGGAGGCTGGCACAGTCCTGGCCTCCATGGGGCTGCGCCTCCCCAGTCAGGCCCTGGGCCTGGTTCTGGGCACCATGCCAGCTAAGAGCAGAGAAGAGACACCCACCCACCCCTGGCCAGCCAGAGAGAAGGCGGGGGCGGGGGGGGGGGGGGGCTGGAGAGGCACCACCCCCAAGCTCCTCCTTCCCCAGGAGGGTAGTCCAACTCCAAAGCCCAGTGCGACAGCTACCCTGGTGAGAAGTTGGGGGCCAGCAGAGACAGAAAGACCCTGGCTCTTTAAGAGGTCTGGCTGCCCTGTGGGTGCATGCTCCACAAACAAATGGGCTATAAAGTTACTTTTAAAAAGGTACATTCTGTTCCAGAGCACAAGCTGGGCGGAGAAGGGCATCATGCCAGAGCACCCAGCTTCTCACCCTGGGAGCCCCAGGCAACTTCCTCTTTGTGGGTGGGGCTAGGGTGGGCTACAGGCCACAAGCCCTAGGCAAGGCAGAGGTGGGACTCCCTCAAAACTTGAGCAAGACAGAGGACAGCACCCTCAAAATCAGGGTGCCAAGAGAGGGATCATGGGCTACATTGGTTAGGGGCTATGCCCTGAAGGATCAGCTAGGCAAGATGTCCTGGTCTCTGCTCCCTGGTCAGGGGGATGACCCAAGATGGCAGACTCCACAGGCTCTGGTCTCTCTGAAAGCGACTTCCAGGAAGGCCCTTCCCTGGGTACCATCCCCTACAGCACTCCCACACCTCCCTGCCCCCAGGTTCTACTCCACTCTGGGAGAGGGTGGGGCCCTAACAGCAACATCATGAGGTAGATACTATTTTTATCCCAGTTTTACAGACTGGGAAATTAAGGCTGGGAGAAGTGAGGTTTGTTGTCTAAGATCTCACAGAGAAGAACTCAGCCCATTGGACCAGCAGGTCTGCCCACAGCCAAGCCGTGGTGATTTCTCCCTCAACATCATGCTGTCAAGCCCCACCCCACACACCACTCAGAACCCGGATACAGTAGCTGGCATGGACAGAGAACCTCAAGGCAGGGCTGCCGGAGCCTTGGTGCTCAGTGGGAGGACGGCGGGGAAGAGATCCGACCCTGACGCCCCTCTTTTCTACAGTCCAACTCCACTCAAACCACGCCCAGCCCCGGAGAAAACTGATCCCACTCGTCACCCTCCCTGTCCTCTCAGAGACGGCCTTGGTCCAGGAGAGAAGCAACTCCTCCCTTGCTCACTCCCTCCAAACCCTGCGTGATCCCTCCAGATCACCACCTGGCGCTGCTTTTCAGGGATGGCACCGGGCCTGAGTCTCAGGTATCAACTTGGGGCCAGAACTGCCAAGGCCTGCCGTAGCCAACAGTGCCCTCTCGGCCCTGCCCGGGCCCCGGGGCTGAACATCACCTTCACAGCTCCAGCGCTCCCTCACGTCTATGGGCTACGCTTCTTCAAGGGCCTCAGGCTAAAGAGCTGCAGACTGGGGCCTGCAGAGCACAGGCTTGGGTCCGGGGGCCCTCCCTCCCCTCAGCAGTGCCCTCAGCTCCAGATCCCAGATGCAGCCGACCCCTGAAACTTGGCCTCCCGTCATCTGCCCCTCCCCTTGGACACAGCCCCGGCCCCAGTATCCACCCCCACGACCCACACCCCTGCCACCCCCGGTCACCAGACCCCTTCTCATTCCTGGCCTGGTGCCCCAAGGCCCACCTCCCCGACCACCCACCTGCTTCCAGAGGAAGGCGTCGCCGCGGTTGAGTTGCCAGGCCAAGATCAAATGCAGCGTGGAGAGGCCCAGGCCACTGAAGACCGCTGCGCGCATGCGGATGGGGAGGAGCGTGTAGGTGATGTAGACAAAAAACACAGGGCACCAGAGGCCCACGGAGGGGCTGCGGGGGGTGGCCGCCAGGGCACCCCCCACCTGCACAGCTGCCAGGATGCCCAGCACCACGTAGCTCACCACCCACATGGAGTCCTGGCGGAAGCTGTGCCGGTTGCACACCACCATGAGCGCCACGAAGAGGGTGGCGGCGCCGGCCAGCAGGGCCACGTAGGCGGGCTGAGGGCGGGCGGGCGCCGCGTGGAAGGCGAGCAGCACGGCGGCCAGCAGCACCAGCACGGCCATGAGCAGCGTCAGGCTGCTCTGGTTCATCTGGAAGAAGTACCTCTGGTACAGGCGCTCCAGCTTGGCCGAGCGGAACTGCTTGGACTGGAACACCTGGGCCAGGCGCCGCCAGCAGGACCGCCGACGCCCGGCTGTCACGTCAGGGGCCACGTCGGCCGTCGCCTCCGTGTCCTCAAAGCCCAGGGCCACCGCGCGCAGCCCCAGCTCCGGGCCCTTGCCTGGGCCACCCCTCCGGACGAAGGCCTCGTCCTGCCAGGGGCACCGAGGGGGAGCTGCAGGGGTGGGGCTGGGGGGCTGTGCGTCCCGGAGGCAGCTCATATAGCGGGGCGTGCAGAAGCCACCGGTCCGGGTCCCACGGCGGGGACGCTTCTGCCCATTGCGCTCACCCCAGGCTGTTTTCCGCTCATCCACTTTGGGGACCAGGAGGCCACTAAACCACGACATGCTGCTGGGAGAAAGGAACGAGTCGGTGTTAACACCACCATCACTCCCTACCGCCGCCAGTAGCTATCATAAACTGAGTACGTTCCCGGCCAAGCTAAGCCCTTCAGACAACATCTCACTCAAATAAAATCCCGGAGGAGGACGATGGTGTCCCCCTTCAACAGGCCAGGAAACAGGAGACAGAGGGAGAGAGGTAACTGGCCCTAGACCAAGGAGCCACAGAGCTGTGAGAACCGAGATTCGAACCCAGATCTGCCAGTACGTATACGTTCACCTCTTCCCTAAAAAGCACTGATTCGTGGGCGGTGACAAACTCAAGTGCCTGTGTCAATGAGCAAAGGCTCCCCCGGCTCAGATGTGGGAGGAACTACGGAGTGCCCGCCCCCCAGCACGGCAGGGGCGCGCAGCACCCCACACTAGTAGCTAGCTGCCCCTGGCATCCCGGCAGAGCCTGATCTTCTCATTTTCAACAGAAGCTGAAAAAAATGTACGTTGTAATGTGACAGCTCCTGATTTTTAAATGTTGGGAAGTAATTCACATTTTTCAACACTGCAAGCCAAGTAAATCACGTCTATGGAATGAATTCAGCCTGTGAGCTGCCAATCGGTGACCTCCATACAAAAGGGAATCTCTTTCCACATCATTCCCCATCACACTCACGCCACGCACACTTCACCAGGCCAAATGCAACTTCTTCCTTGGGTCACGGCTTAGAAGGAACTTCCTCAGGGAAGATGTCCCGGCTCTCCAACCCAGACTACGTTCCGACCCGTTTACCGTCTGTGTGTTTCCTCTATAGTACTTACCACAATTATAACTAAACTGCCCCTTGTTCAATGTGTGTCCCCACCCCTCTGACTATAAACTTTGTGAGGGTAGGGATTATCACTATTTTGCTCAGCACTGTATCCCTAGCACCAAGTACTCAGCCCAGCTCATGGTAAGGACTCAAGAAATATAATGAGGGGCGCCTGGGTGGCTCGGTCGTTGAGCATCTGCCTTCGGCTCAGGTCACGGTCTCAGGGTTCTGCGATGGAGCCCCGCATCGGGCTCCCCGCTCTGCGGGAAGCCTGCTTCTCCCTCTCCCACTCCCCCTGCTTGCGTTACTGCTCTCGCTATCTCTCTCTCTGTCAAATAAATAAATAAAATCTTAAAAAAAGAAATACGTTGAAAAGACAGAAAGCTCAAGATGGGATGTCTGGGTGGCTCAGTCGGTTAAGTGTCTGACTCTGGGTTTCGGCTCAGGTCATGATCTCAGGGTGGTGAGATCGAGCCCCACGTCAGCTGTACCCTCAGTGCACAGTCTGCTTGGGATTCTCTCCCTTTCCCTCTCCCTCCCACTCTGTCCCTCCCCTCTCCCCCCTCCCAGCACTCTCGCTCTCAAATAAATAAATAAATAAAATCAAAAAAAAAAAAAAAAAGCAAGCTCAAAGGCATTTGCATTGAGCAGCTAATGTGAAATAAAAACAAATAGCGATAATCCTGTGACTCTTCATCTCCCTCCCTGCACTCCAGTCCTATGAGCCTCCTTGCTGTTCCCCAACACACCGTCCATAGGCCGGCCTGGGCCTGTGGTGCTCACGGGGCCGTGTCCTCTGCCGCTACAAGAGCTCCTCCAGGTCACAGCTCAAATGTCCCCTTATCAGTGAGTCTTTCTCTGACCGTTCTATTAAAATAGCAACCCCCTTTCCTGGAGCTCCCTATCTCTCTTCCCAGCTTTATGCTTTAATTTTCTCCATAGCTCTTATCAGCAACTGCCATTCTATATATTTTCCTTATTTGCTCATTGTGTCTCCTCACTGGAATGTCAGCTCCATGAAGGCAGGGATTTGGGCCCGTTTTGCTCACCGCCCTATCTGCCACACCTAGTAGAGTCTAAGTAACTGTTCCTAGAAGGGCTCGGTAGACAATGCTTTCTCTGTGCTTTAAACTTTTTGAGGTCCTCTCACATGCCTAATTCCATCTGATCTTCACCAAAACCCTGTGTAGCTGCTTCTGTGGCCACCTGGAGCACAGATTTGACAGGGGAAAAAAAAAGAAAGGAAAACAAGGTGCATAGCAGCTTTATGTGGCTGGTCCAAGTTACAGAGACCCCAGGCCACTGAATCAGACCCAAATCTCAGGTCTCCTGGAGGGTAGCACCTTGAGCCAGGATGGGGAGGACTCCAGGACAACACCCTCAGGGAGCCGCATGTGCATGCCTCCTAGCAATGAGAGGACTGTCATCCTCCTCCATGCCCACAGGGCACCCTGGGGCTCCTTGTACTTAAACCTTCAGAGCTAGCAGCCTTGACATTTGTACTCACTAGGGGACACGGCGGGGGGGGGGGGGGGTGGCAGACATGTGGAGCTTCAAGCAGACACCCAGAGGCCCACAAAAGAGAAGGCAGACTGGGGACCTCTCTGCATGCTGGAAACCCCCATCCCTAGTTCACCCTCAGCCCACTTCTCTCAGCATCCCTTCTCCCATACCCCACAGAGCAGCATGCCCTTCAACCCCTTCACACCACCAACAGCACCCTCTGGAGGGACAGATCAGAAATCCAAGACTTTGGGTCAGGTCGGCATTTGGAAAAAGGCACCAAAGGAAGCCTGGCTCCTCAAAATACTTCATTAGAAGCATGATCTTTGGAGCAAGACCAGGCTTCAAACCTGAGAGTAATTATGTGCTAGCCCACAGCCCTGAACACGTTACTACCTCCCTGCATCAGTTTCTTCATCTGTAAAATGGGAGTAGTAGTAGCTGTGAGGAAAGGATCCAACAGTATCTGTCACATAGTACACACTCGATAAATGAGTTCTTCTCCCCCACCCTACACCGTTTTGGACCCAAAACTCTGCCACTATCCAAGAAATGGAAAGACAAGTCATAAGCAAGAACACACATCTCCCCAGCCAGTCAGACACCTGGTTCTGTCAGTCCCTGTGTCCTCGGCTGTCAGTCCCCAGAGCTGCTGGAGACAGAGCCCAGAGTGAGCAGGTTTCCCACCACCCCCACCATGACATTTTACTTCATTCAGCCTCCTCCTACTCGCCAGTCCCCTGCCCTGTATTTACCACACGCACCCCCCAAATGGGCCAGACCTCTGTTCCCAAAGGACCTGTTTCTGGCTGTGTTCCCAGCCTCCTGGAAGCACATCCTAGTATCTGGCTCATACCCACAGAGGAAGGGGTAGACACTGTCCAGGAGAATGCATGACTGTCCCCAGAACACTCTGACCCCCCCAGAGGGGATAGCTTCAGAGCTGTGTAATTGTCCAACTAACTGCAACCATCCCATCTGGAGCTCCACTCCAGGCATTGCCCACCTTGGAGAACTCACCAGGCTCCCAGCACTCCTGGCACCCCACGCTAGGTCGGTATGACAAGGAACAGGGGAGGGCACTGTTCAAAGCCACAAAACTTCCCTATATGGTCCCCCAAACCTCACTGTCCAGAAACAACGCATCGCTATAAACCACAGACCACCTCCCTCTTCCCTAGGGACAGGCTCCTGAGCCTGTGCCTCTGACCTCCTCCTCCCCTGGGTCCCGGTCCCTTGCTCTCTCTCACAGATCTGCTGCTCCAGGCACCGCTGGCTCCCACAGCCAGAGCCATATCCATTCAGCTTGGCAGTTGGAGGCCCAGTGCCTCCCAGATCTCAAGTCCCTCCCAACCCTGATTCTCCAGCCTGAGACCCAGAGTCTGAGGCAGGCCAAGGCCCAGCCCCAAGGATAGCTCTGCCCACTGCTTCTCCCAAACCCTCTTCCTGGCCACCTCGGTCTGTCCCTGCCCCTGCCCTCCTTGGCAGAAGGAGGCTCCAGGGGATTTAAAACGACTTCAGAAAGTTCATGGTAGAAGGCGCTGC